CCAATTCCGGACCACTGTTGGCTGGAATCGAATCTGCACCTTGTGAAAGAGTGTGGGCTCATTAAATGATTCCTTCAATAAAACTCCCTAGTCAAATATTGTTATATTAGATACTTATATAGAATAAATAGCTTGTTCATACCAGCATAATTTAATAGATTAAATCTCATTTGGCATTCAAATCCTTACGAATAAGTTATCGATTGGCAGTTTTACAACTTTGTAGGAAGCCGTAAATGTATTGCATACTTAAACTAAATGAGCTTCAGCGCCATGAAAATCCTCTGATTAGGCGTAAAATTTACAACCTGGTTTATGATTCGGCTTTCTGTTAGAGCAGCTAAGCAAAGGAAAATACAGGATCTATCCTTTTCCGCGAAAGAGCTTTACCCACCAGGAACAAGACTCAAGTTGTTGGCCTCGTATCTCGATCAACTCTTAAAATATTGCATACGATCATAATAGCTTATTATCGATGGGTTTCTTTAATTAGTTTTTTTTTAATTTCTTATTTCAAGCATAAACTAATGTTTATAAAGCGTTTATAAATTTATGTTTTACTCAATACGCATTATTATTGATAATTTGGTCTTCTCAAGAATTTGGTTTTCTTTATTAAAAAATATTCTGTTTTCCAGGAAATTATAAAATATATATACCGCGTGTTTTTTGTGAGAAGGCCATCATCATTATTATGTTAAAATAAAAAATATCTTCGCTTTATGAAACAGACTGATTCCGAAAATATACATGAAATAATTCATGAGTTTATTGTAATATTGTATCCTGTGTTAGAAAAGAGGAAGTCATAATAAAAAAGATTGAAGATTGGGCATACTAAGCTAACTCATAACTAATTTTGCCGGCAATAACTGACTGTCAAGCACTTGAATGAATGAGAAATGTTTTATTAAATATGCATAAATTAATAATTTCCAAAATACAAAGAACATTTATATAGCATGATAATTCGTCTGCCAGAAATTTTATGTTTTACAGGTATAGTACAAATAAAGACTTTATAACAATTACATATACATGAATGACTCATAAATAATAAAACAACTAACACAATATAAAATAACAAATATTTTAAATAATTTATGTCTAAGAATAATAAAAGAAAATTATGGAAATCATAAACAATAACATGAATAAAACTGAACACAAATAAATTAGACGGATCATTGCTTATGGTGGATGTAGCAAATTAAAACGGTGTTTCCACGCATGTCGAGCAAAACCGACAATTTTACGACATTCGTTCACAGAAGATGCATTTAGAAGGGAAATTAGGATTTCATTTCGAACCGGGCTAGTTTCACGAAATTCGATACGAATTTGACTAAGCATTGAACACTCACCCAAAAAATGGAACAGGTCCTTCTTTACTGGTAGGTTGCAGAGTGGACAATCCGTATATTCCCTGTCAAGCCATGGGATGTAATTCAAATAAAGGAGTTCACACCTGAACTTGAACAACCAACTCAACTCGCGCCCAGTCAAATCCCAATGCCGCTAATTTACACTGCTCCCAATGTCGCTGAGTGATTGCAGACCGTATTGTTCCTAACTGGTCTTTCCATAACGAAAAGCATTCCAAAGACCTGTCGAGCCTGCCAGAGTATCTTTACGTCAAATTGCACGATTTTTTTAACCAAAAGGTATTACGTTTAACCACTTCAACGGTGATAAGTCTGGAGAGACGACTTTCAGGCAGGCACAGTAACTTAAGACAATACTTAAAATGCAACTGTAAAGTGAATACCTCAAGTGGATTTGTGCCTGTTTCTAAATAAATCATATTATTTGGTGTCGTTGGAGGCAACGAAAAGAATTTCCTAATGAAAAATCTCTGAAACTTTTCCAATATGTCATAACCCTGAAAACACCAGACTTGAGCCGCATAGCATAATATGGTGCGTAATATCGCATCAAATATTTGTTTTATGGCGGATAGTGGGATCAGATTTTGAGGCATGAAACTTGACCAATTCCTATAGTATAATATAAAAAATAATAATAATTAATAAATAAAGAAGACCTCCAATCCTGGATTCGCTACTGTACATGGTGGGCCAGACCCCTCCTCCCCCTCCCCTACCGTGCACTGCTTCCCTTACACATCCCTATAAATTGCATATGTGTTCTTTGCAACTATTTATTAAAAAAAAAAACAATATTCCCACAAAAAAAGTGATCGCACTGCTTCAAAATGGTGTCCAAAAATGGCTGACTGACGACTTGAGTTAGTTTTTGGTCACCTAGAGACAAGATTAATTTCGTCATAATTGGCCTTTTATTAAAGCCAGATGGTCTCAGAAAAATAAAACATGAAACAATATTAGAAAATAATTGGTTTAGGCAATAAAAAACACTAAAATATTTTTTTTCAACAAAAAGAAATTTCACGTTTAAAATCAAGCGTCGTTTGTAATTAAACGGCTAACAATAACGGAAAACTTCCTGAAATAAAACATCTGGAGAATATATTTCTCTTTCTAAAACACTGCTAACTTTTTTAAATATTTGAAGCGGTTTTGTAGAAAATGCACTTAATAGACGGAAAAGCGGTACTGGTGTTGTTGCCTACTGGCCTCTGCCACATCATTCAGTACTCATAAATGGCATATTTATAGCGCTATAATAACTTTTATGGTACATTATATTGATTGTATTAACGAAAAAATATTAATGCAATAATTTATTTGTCCAAAAATATTAAACAATATTTTTTGTTTTTTTTTAAATATTACTTCCTTTATTCTATGCGTAGGTCGTTTAGGAAGGCCACTATTGTAAAAAAAAATATAATAATAATGCTAAAACTTAATTCAAAAATACTTAGCTGAATATCTTGAATTTTTTATTTAACGTTTGCAATTTAACACTTTTTTTCTGTAAATTTACTCATTCTTAGAGGTAAGTTAAATTGTACATACTTTCCCGGAAATGAGTCATATCAATACCTGTTTTATAAACTAAAATAATATATACCTAATCTGAACTACAAATAATGAATAGTTGCCGGTTTGTTTAGTAAAAATCATATATCACTAATAAAAAAATTAATTTTTATTTCCTTTATTTTGTTCGGAAGTTGGACCATATCATAAAAAAATGGGAAATTTTAATAATGAATACTTTATTCTCTCTGCACAAAGAAAGACGGAAAGAGCGAAGCTTTATGTTCTTCTTGGTAACCGGAACTAATTTTTAGTATTTAGTATCAAAATGAGGAAAAACGCGAAATTGAACACAAAAATTGGAAAAATACTTTAAGCGAACGAAGAAGGAATTGTCAAATCCCGGAAATGAAAACAAGGATCAGTATCCATTATATGGATACTAAACTAATGTATAGTAGATAGATGAACAGAATATTTCAAGGAGCTGTTCGGATGATATTAAGGGAACGAGGTTTATTATAGTAAAGTCCATTGAAGCATTGAAGACCGTACACGGTAGGGGGGTATGGCCCACAGACTACTTGTTCATAGTCCCATAGCAACAAACATCATTCTGAGATTTCATTCAAAATATAATTATTATTTGGAAGATATATAAAAACAAGGAATAATGTTTTCGTCACTGTACATACTGATGTTTTTCAAACGATCTGAACATATCTCCTTTCAGAGAATATTTTCAAAGCAATATATAAAATGGCTTAAGATGGTTCTGAAAACACCGTTCCTTATTTCAGCTCTTTATATTTGACAAAGACCATTCCTGCTCCACCTTTTAAGGAAGGAATCTCGATGGCAGTGAAATATGGCTTTTAAATATTCTTATTGTGGATTATTTTGCTGTGAACCTCAATTTTTACAATCCCAAACCTCCTCTTAGCCGCTGTCGTAACTGAATTTAGCGAATTCGCCATAAACAAGCAAGTTTCCCTCAAGACTTTCTCTGATCCTCTGATATTGAATGTAAGCACTACTATCTCTTCCAGACGTCACGTCGGAGTAGGTACTCTTTAAGAAAATTTCCTGAGAAATCTCAAAGTTTGACCTATATTTATAAACTGTGGATGCTGTTAAAATATTTACGTATCATCTGTTCTGGATCGCTATGTTTTTTTCGGACTAGAACGGAATATATTTTTTTAGATAAGTATTACACATCCTAAGGAGCTGTACTATGTATTTATATTTTTGTTGAGGGAATGAATTTCATTAGACTAACAATACTTTCTTTATATTTAGAAAAAAGTCTTATTATAGTGTAAATCTCTTAATGTATTTACAATTGACTAAATTTATGTTTATGTGCCAATTTTCTTTTTATTCAGATATGTTTTAAGGGTTTATTGTTGCACTGATGTTATTATGGATCATTATATTTCAGTTTTTTGTGGCATCAGAGCCACTTTAGGTACTATCAGTTTAAGTTACATTTAAGTTAAATCAACTTTCCTATTCAAACATCTGACACAGGCCATAGGTATAATATCAAGTCCCATTAAACAATATAATTTTTAAAGGATGATTTAATTGAAAAAGCGAGTTTTTGTCGACAATTCTTTTACCATAAATAAATAGTTTGTCCCGGATGCTTATATATTCCTTCATTAAAGAAAATAGCTTTGAATATAGAAAAATGCAATACGTGATTCTATTGACCTCCTTAAAAATTATGTTTAACCGATTTGCACAGCTTTTGATGATGCTGGAAAACTAGCAATGTAAAATGATTCTAATTGGTTTGATCAATGAAGTAGCCGTATTCTTGTGGAAGATATTTCAAATTAAAAAAAAAAGCTTAATGGGTATTAATATATTATCAGATTACATAACACTGTCCAGGCCCAAATTACCTAAATCATACTTGAAAATAACTTTGATTTTTTTTTTTATATTTAAAAAACATATAATATGTATATATTGTATTTCATAATATACCTGAAATCTTAGTTATAGTAATTTATATTATCATTATTATACTTTTTTTTTTTAATTTTTTTATTCAAAAAATTTATGTTTTGCTTGTTATTTCAGATGCTATGGATCTGCCAGTATGGGTAAATGGAGAACAACTCTGGATCAAGGGTGTAGAAAAAAAAACCACCTGCGATGACATCATCAAAGTCTTACTAGGTCAAGAATACGAAGAATATTCGCTTTATGAAAAATGGAAAGGAGTAGAAAGAAAGCTTCGAGGCGTTTCCAAAGTTTGGAAAATCTGGAAAGAATGGGGGGACGCTCAAGATGAAGTAAAGTTAACTCTTAAAAGAGCACAGGAACGAGATGGGAGGGAGAGCCCTCGACTCAAGTCTAGAAGTAGGCACAGAAAATCTGAACATGGTCACAGGAGGTCTAACTCGAAGCCTCAGAGCATTGAATTGTTATTAAAATTGATCTTAATCCAAGGAGAAACAATACAGAATCAGTTAAAGAAGTTGAAAGAAAAAGAAGAAGAAATACGTCAAATTGAAGAAGACAAACACAAAGAAAGAGTAAATGCACTAGGTTCTAATTACCTTTTGGACTCCTACTTTGAAAAAGAGACTGACAGTGGCATGGTAACAGAATACCCTAGTGAAAACACTCCACCTGAAGAAGAAAAAGAATATGATCCTAATATTAGAACCAAACTGGAACTTTGGGAGAAAATAGCTAAACTGAATCGAAAGATAGAAAAAGAAGAAGAAACCTTAGTTAAACTATTTGTAGCTCTAAGAGAGTTTGGAGAAAATGAAGTTATAAAGGAGTTAAAACGTCTTAGAATCGAGTCAGACCGCTTCAATAAAGAATTAGAATCGAACAAAGAAAATTTAGTCGTGATTGAAAACACATTAAGTGAGAGGAAAAAGTATCTTCAGAACTTATATACTGAACTTGAAGAAAGTGAGCAAGAGACAGTAAGACTTCTTGAAATAATCCAATCTTATTCATGTGTGCCTCAAAATATTTCATGTTGGATTGATGGGGAAAATGGGAGAGATTGTATTCTTGATGCAATCGTTTAGTTAATTATAAAATTAATAAAATAATTAAGTTAATTATTTTCAATGGATTTTTTTTTTCACTAGTTCTTGATCACTTTATTCATTTTCAAATAATATGATTAGCACTTATTAATTTCTTGGCTTACTCTGTTATACGTTCTTGTTATATATATGTAGTTGAACTTACTAAAATTTCTTTTAACATCAGTGATCTTTTTTTTTAAAATTTCAATTTAAATCTCAACAGTTAATTTTAACAGTTAGAACATTGAAAATTTTAATTTAATTCAATATATTTAGTAATTACATTATTTGTTAAATTCTCTGTTACCTTGTATTTCCACTTCATTAAGTAATGATATATTTATTTTTTATAAATTATTTTGTATTAATTTATTATAAATATTAATATGACCTGTCACTGCGAAATATTTTGTAATTATTTGATTTATTTTATTGTATTACATGTTATATTATACTTAATGATTAGCTTATTTTAGATTGTATTTTATTGTTTAGTCAATTATCATTCACTTAACACGTTTTTCATTTTAAATTGATTGATTTTTTATCATTTATGAAAAGTTATTTACAAACATTCAAAATTATAAAATTTAATATTTGATATGATTTTATCTTAAATACAAGAGTTGATGAAAATAATTTTATCATAATAGCTGCTGAAAGTTCTTTAAAAGAATTCAGGCGTTTCAATAAGTTAATAAAGTAAGCTTTGAATGATGAAAACTATGTTACCAAATTGTTCCTCAAATTTCCTCAATAATTTTTTCTATTAATTACTTTGAGGAATGAAAACATTAAAATGTAGGGTTTTTTTATATGTGATCTATTAGTTTATAAGATTATTATAGCCAACAACAAAATTATTATTTCAGTTTTAATACTGATTTTCTTTGGTGTATTTTGTCGTTTTGAAATAATTCATAATTGATACTATACCTTTTAACTCTTTAAATTTTTTATTGAATGATATGAACCTGTTGTTTCATGTTTATGAATTTTGTTTATATTAATATTAATTTATTCCAGCAATATATCTTGCTGATGAATTGAATATATTTGTCAACCTCATTGAATAACTTTTTTTTATTAACCATACAGTAATATTACATTAATAATAAGAATTCATGAAAAATTATAAGCATATATTCTTCTTTATGGGATATTGCGTTTAAATTTGAAATTTATGTTAACAATAAAATATTACATAATATATGACCATCCAATCTATTAAAAACTTAATTATATTCAGTAGTGAATAAAAACTACAATAACAAGGTATGGTAAAATATTAGGGCAAGTCTAAACTTAGCTTTGAGCTCATAGATAGCATTGGATCTCTCTCTGAACTGGGCGAAACAATACCACTGATGAGCTCAGTGCTGAACTTTTCCATAATATATGACATCTTTATGGTATAGTCATAAAACTTTTCAATAATTTTTGTCTATATTGTGTATCAAGAAAATCAAATTATATACCTGATCTGTTTAATATGTCAAAATTGTTTGCAAACACTTAAGAACAGATAGAGATATCTAGATATTTTAAAATAATCAATTTCCTATATTTATAGGACACATATATGTATTTTATTTTGCACTGCATTCTAAACCAAAAATAATCGAAATTCCATTAAAAATTGTTTTAAAAAAAATATCTATTTACATATTAAAAAATAATATTTCCTTTTCTATAGATATTAAAATAACTGTTCTATTGTAAATATAACTGCTGTAAGTGTAATTATAAATATAATTATTCCTATTAATGAAATAATATAACTTTTTAAAATGCCATCCATATTAATAATAAAATGGTAAGCTTCATGTTTTGAAAATGAATTTGAAAGGTATTCATAGGCTTCTTTCAAATGTTTCCCAAAGTTAATATCCATTTTCAATCATAATGCCAACATTAATAAAATTTGTGTTTTCATGGCCTGTTTAATCTATACATATTACGCATGAAAATCTTTTGATTTTTTATATTATTTTAAAATACCTTTAATTTTAACCAATAAAACTTATTTTAATGATGTTTGAAGACACTTATAAACATAAATATTACAAAAATATTTATTTTTTAATTGTTTCTTAATGATATTTACAACTGTATTGAATAAATACATCTAGTAAATTTGAACATAATGGATATAATGACATGAAAACACTTACAAATATTTATAAAAATTAATATTGTTCGTGCACTTTAAATCAAATTTTTTAAGAACTTAAAATATTTTAAGCACCTGCTCAAAACTATATTATGTAAAAAATTTATCTATATTACTCCATTTTAAATTTTATTATTCAAAATAAGAAATTGAATAATCATAATGAAATGGGAATATGTTCTTATTACAAAAGATTCTGATGAAGTTACACAAAATTAAATACATTTTAAAAGTAAATAATTACTAGACATGAAGGACAGTATAAGACAAAATATATATATATATATATATATATATATATATATATATATATATATATATATAATTTTCACAATTAAGGAATAATCTTTTTTTTTTTTAAACTGTTGTGTATTTAATTCAATAGTCTTAACCTTAGTTGACAAAAACATTTATTTATTTAACATTTAAAAGAAGTGTTTATTTTATGACACCTTACAAAAATAAAATGATAATTATGTGTATTATAACTAAAATACATCATTTTACTAATGAATATATGTATATACACATTGTATATCCATCGTAAATATTAAGTAAATAATTAAAAAACTTTGGGACAGCATACCATGATATGGTGTACTAATGGATATTCCTAAGTGTATTATCATTACATGGTATTTCCAACAAGTTCTATATCATGATACTATTAATATACCTTTAATGACAATTTATAGTTTAATAGTTAATAAAGAAATTGGTTAATTAGTGATTTTTTTTTTTTACTTTAGTTTGATAATAGGACATAACAAAATAAATTATTGTATATTTTTGATCTAAAAATAAACATTAACTAGCAGTTTAAAGTAATTAATGAGCTATTAACTGTATATTTTAATAACATTGATACCAAATATATGTAAAATTATAGTGGTCTAATATACGTAATCTGTATATAAAAAGTACTAGAATGAAATATTTTTGTCCAAAAGTAAATTGAATTTAATGAATGTTTATATATTATATTATGTTGTTATTCTATATATTTTAGTACCTAATTGATTGTGTAATTTAAATATATATACATTTTATGCCACCATGTTTATCAATTATTTATTATTCTATCATTTACCGTTTCCTCAGTGATAAATAAAGTCAGGGTGACTGAGTAGCCTAAAAACACTTTATTAAGTGTTTAAAGACAAATAAAAATTATTTGTTGTCAAAAAAACTATCACAGTAAAGAATTACAATAACATTAAGTACATATGTGATATAGCTATCAAAAATATATAAATGGTGACACAATATATTCAGTACTAAAAAAATTAAATTCATCTAAGATACAAAATGTTTTAACCAAAGGGAAAAAAATATTTACATCTGTTACTTAAAAAATATTTATAAAAATACCTATAATAGTATAATAAAAAGAAATAGATGGTAATCAATATGTATATATATATATACCTTTTTTCCAGATTTGTTTGTTAAGTGAACGTTTATGTTTTGCCTCTTTTCTAACTAATGGACATAGACATTACTCCCTAACACTACATAATTTCAATATTTCTTTCCATTGCTTTATGTTTAGTTATGCTTTGGGAATTTCAGCATCAATTCTTCATTTTAACTGAAAACCTTTTTTTTTATGCATTAAATGACACAATTAATTACTACTATTGAAATATATGAAGTGGTTAACATGTTCAATTATTGTTATAATTGCCAATTAAATTTAATTCAATTGAACAAATTCAAATAAGCTTACCTAGAATGGTTTTATCTCAACTTCTTCCTCATGAATCGCTGAATTACTGAGCACTATTTTTCTCAAAATATTAACTTTAAAAACACTTATTTAAGTTATTCTCAAAGATTCTGAGAGAGATGAGTAGAAGTGATGTTCCAGCTACCAGGTAATACATATAACTTATACTTCTTGATACTCTACATTTTCCCATCCATTATCATGGCTACAGGTGGCTGCTAGAAAAGGATCTTTTGTTATTGGCATACCCGATCAGCACACATGGTTGGCCCAACGTTGGGAAATGATTTTCACTTTCAGTTAATCAACGGTTAGAATTGGCTGCAAGTTCAACGGTTGGCCAACTACAATTCCCCAATAATGGCCCACATACGTTTAATAAAAATGGGCCAATACAAATTTTTCCATTCCAGCTATCTGTTAACCAAAATAATTTACCAGCATTACCATTGTTATATTTGTTCACAATAAATAAAATATTATTAACTGTGCACGTGTCGCTTCAGTAAGGTTGGGAATCAAATGAGCAACTCCTATTACACCTCACATCACATAAATATATATATTTATTATTCAAATTTACAATTAAAAGCACCATTTAAAATTATTTTAACAAATTTAATATATAAAATATTATATGACATATAAATATACAATATATAATACAAACAAATAAATTAATAGATACTTAGATATTTACTATAAAAACTTATAACAAAAATTAATGGATAACATCTTTCAACTAATGAAATAATTTCATTTGACAATACGAAATACAGATCAATGTTTTTTTTTTTTTTTTTTTTTTTTTTTTTTTTTTTAATTCAGGAGAACCATATTTCTTTACCAAATCTGAGGAGGAAACTCTAAAACCAGTTTCAAGTTTATTCATTTCATATATTCCAAATAAGCTACTTTCTAATGGGATGTTAAAAAATACCTTTTTATTTTTAAATTCAACACAGTGGATCATAAAACTTAGATATGAATCTTTTTTTTTATTTGGCAATAATTATTTCAATTTCTTTGATAATGTAGCAAGAATTATAAATAGATTTTCAAACAATTTTATCTAGATCCAATAACAAATTATTGTTAGGTTCAGGAAAATCACTAAAATAATTGTTTTGTTTTATTAGCATTTTTGTTAATTGATGCAGAAGCTTGTTTAGACCATGAATTAATTTTTTTATTTCAGTCATAAAGCTTTCAAATGGGAATGCTGTAAAGTTACCTGAACAATCAAAATTACATACATTGTCAGCTATATGTAATAAATTGTGT